AATATTACCCAAAACAGTAGGAATATTAATCTAGCGAACTGAACCTCACCCATGTGAATCAAAGTAATATATATTATATATATATATCTGCCTGTTTAATATCTTACGGGTTAAGAGAATGCAGTAATTAACCGATGCCTAGTTCATTTACAACGATCAGTATAAAATGAACTTCCCCTCTCTGGATCCTGTTCAATAGATAAATGTACTAGTGCAACTAATCAGTGAAGACAAATTGTATAGTTGACACTACAACCGTTCGGATGGGGTGTTCATGTCCATCTAGGTTGTGAACAACTATTCTTGTTTGCAAGTGACTGATAGAGTGATCTTCGGTCCGCCCGATGACGACCCACCCTATCTAAGTGCAGAACAACAGAATGTAGAATTTGTTTAATCTAACATGATTTTCATTCATAAAGGGTAAATGTGTAATAATATGCAAAGCCAAGATTTCAATATATAACACTAACAGTATCTCTTCCACCAATTGGACCTCCTCTCCCATCGGCTCTTCCAATGCCCTTGCATACCTCCGCCTCGCCCGATTCGAGTCTCCATCCGTCGGGCCTCCGGAGATCATGTGAATTACCCCTTTCTTCCGTTGGTCCTTATCAGGATCTTCACGATCGTCTCGCCCCCTCTTCTCGTTTTTTTTTCCTTCCTCCTTCTGGGTCTTTATCCCTTAGCACGAACTCTTTCAAACGTCCTGCTCGTATTAGCCTTTCCACCTCGTCTCTCAACTCCTTGCAAGCATCAGCGGTGTGACTGTACTCTCTATGATATCGACAATAGAACTCCGGTCGCCCAATGGGCACCCCATTTTTCCTTGGCAGGGGTCGAGGTCGGTCCAGCATCCCTAAGCTGCCCCTTTTCTCTAACACCGCGAATACTTGCCCCCTTTGCGCATTCAGGGACGTATAACGGTCGAACCTCTGGCCCGATTTCTACCCTTTCTCGTCTACCCGTTTACTCTCTCGCCCCCCTTTCCTGTCATCGGGTTGAGGGGGTCGCTGCTCTTGTTTCTTTTCCCTCCTATTGTCTCTTACGAGGAAATCTTTCTGTGCCCCTTCCATGTTCATATATTTGACTCCTCTCTCCAACAGTTCATCAAAACTTTGGTCCGGTCTTTTGGATAAGGAATCTCAAAAGGGTCCAGGTCGCAGTCCACAGGTCAATCCGCCAGCCTTTATCTCTTCTGCGGCGGTTGGCACTTCGACTCACGCACGAGTGTAGCAGGCTATATAGGCACGTAATGTCTCTTCCTCCCTCTGCTGCAAATTTATCAAAGATAAGTACGTCTTCTCATGCTTTCTCGCGCTCACGAACTGGTTGGTGAACAATGAACTGAAGCCTAAAAAATCTTTAACGACGCCTGGTGCCAATTGATGGAACCAATCTTGGGCAACACCCTTTAATGTGGTCAGAAAGGCTCGACAACACACCGCGTCACTGTATCTATGCAACACCGCTATGTTCTCGAAGCTCCTGAGATGTTGAGCCGGATCAGTAGAGCCATCATATGTCATGGTAAGTTCTCGAAATCCCTGCGGAAGCTGTGCTCTCAACACCTCGTCTGCAAATGGGTGACGTGGGTGACACGGACTTGGACGTCCATTGACCTTCTCCTGAAGCTCCCGCAGCTGTTCCGCCATGCGATCCAAGATCGAGTCTCTGGGCGGTTGTGGTAAGGCCCCTGACGAGTGGACCGATTGCTCTGGCTCATGCTCATGCCCCCCTATGACATGTTGCCTCACCGTTCGAGTTATTGCCTTGGGTCGAGCTATCATCTCCCGCGCTTCGAGTCGAGCTATCATCTCCCGCACTTCGGGTCGAGGCTCCATCTCTTGAGCTTCGGGTCGAATGACTGCTCCCCCAGCTGGCGGTGAAATCGATTCCATTCTTGCCTCTACCGCGGCCGCTATCATCCTCTCCAACGCACTAGGCGTGATATGTATGGGCTGCTCCGGTGTGAGAAGCTGAGTGTTTGCGCTGGGCCCCCCCTCTGTCGTCTCTTCATGGAGCTGCGTTTTCTCTCCGCTTGTCTCACGGTGTGATACGCCCGCGCCCGGCGTAGTCGGCAGCGTCTCCATTACACCTGTTTGCACTTTGCACTGGGCTGTTTGCGATTGCTCCAGACAGCTCCGGTGGCTGCTGAATAGCGGGAGCTGGGGTCGCCGGCGTGCTTCCACACAACACCCACTCTGGCGGCAGCCCCGCCCCTACAGGGCGTTTATGCAACCAAGAGTTATCCTCTTCCCTCTGCAACTGTTCACTTTCCTCCTCCATCTTCTTCATTTCGTTTTCTCCTTCTTAACTTGCTTTCCGATTGCTATGTACGAGATACCACCAGATCAATGCCGGTTGAGCTAGGGTTCCCACAGACGCGCCAATTTGATATGGTCTGAGATGAGTGGCTTCTGTTTTTCGGAAGGTCTTCTCCGATTTGAACGTGGATCTACCAGTTCGGTGCGGTCCAAGTCCTTGAGTTCGCCGGTACCTGCAAATACGCCAGAATTTCTCCGGCGCTAACACACAAGTCAATATCTCAAAATAAGAAAGATTGTAATGTGTAATGAACGTAATAGTGTTGATAATAAATGATGTCTTGCCTTCTGTTCTACGAATTTAACATATATATAGTATTTGGTTGTGCGGACTACCTCATAACCGCCATTGCTAAGGTCCGAACCAAAATTAGTGTTAGGCCTCTTCTCATGGGTCGACACCCTATGGGTCGACTTCTAGCGGTTAGACCCTTCGTGGGTCGATCGCGGCTTTACAGTTCAGTCTTCTCAAGGGTCGAGTTGGCCTTACGCCACACGCTCTTACCTGCTAGGTGGGTCGAGGGGTCAATGTTAGACCCTCGGTTATCGGGTCGATGGGTCGAGGCCTAAGTGGGTCGACTCTATGTCCTCGACCGCTATTCCGGTTCGTTCGACTTGGTTTCGTAGGCCTTGTTTGACTGGACCGGGCCAATACCATAATCCCTATCTTGCGGTCGCGTAGTATGAAGAAAGCCGTGCCGAAATCCTAAAAAAGGATGGAAGGCTGAGATTTCAGAACTTTAGTTTGGAGCTAGTTCACTGTCTTGCGGTCGCGTAGCATGAAGAAAGCCGTGCCGATTTCATTGTCGACGGACATAGTTCGCGTAAAGGAGATCTTGCCGATCCGATTTTGGCCTTTTTTTTTTAAGTATGTTTTTCTTAAAAATTATAGAGAATCGGGGATTTTCAAAGTTTACGGGGAACAAGAAATACTACATCAAACTTGTAAGTGTATTTGTATTTAATAATTAATTATATTTCTTTTTTAAAAAAAAAAAGAGAATAGGAGTTTTCAAAATTGCAGTGTAACTGTATTTAATAATAAAAAAATAGTTATTTACTACCAATTTGCTATTAAAAATATGTCCAAATAAAAGTTTTTAATGTAGTTCGTATTTTTACAAAAACACTCGTCCTTTTAGAGTAGTATATACATAAAATAGTATATATAGATATAGATATAGATATAGATATAGATATAGATAGATTACCATTTCACAATTTATATAGAAAAATTAAGATTAAAGTTCATTTAGTCAATACATATCTTTGCAATTCATGCCACAAAATTGTAAATTGCAGTTATATATTAACATAGCTTCATTCTGATAGTATCATTGAGGTCAACTAGTCAACGTTTCATTTAAGTCAGTTTCGATTACATAATTACTGAATTTTGAATTCCATTGTCCATTTAATTAATTTGCAGTTTGTATAACATTGTCAAAGTTCCGTTGTTATATATGATTGTATATAAAACGAGACAATATTATGATTAACAGTTTGCCTCGGCTGTCAGATTTCGATTTTTCAGTTGATCAGCTTAAACCGCGTTTTGACAAGCTACAAAATTAATAAGGTCAAGACGCGTATATTTTTTCAAAGGCATAGGACAAAATCGAAAAAGTGTGGCCAGACACCATGGATTGGGCCACACATTTATCTGATGAAGAGTAATATAGGTAGAGACTATATTAGTATACGTACGTCTTTTAAAACATTCCTTAAATTTTGGGAGAAGAAACTTTAATATATTTTTCATGCACTCTTCGCTGACTTGAAACAATGGATATTGGGCATGCCTTCCAACATTTGATTTCGAGTCAAGAATATTTTTAAATATGTGACTTAACAACCTATTCAATCGGTTCTACCAGTTTAAAGTATGCGAGAGAGTGCGTGAGTGCGATTTTTATGTAGCAATACAAAATAAAACGTGGAACTGATTAAACAAAATTTTCTTCAAGAAGCATCCCCTTTCCTCAAAACTCTTTCAATAATAAATGATCACGCGCATGTAGCGCAATATAGATTTACGAGAATAGAACTCTCTTCTAATCCTACTATCCTTACACTCCACTTCTCTAGTTACTTTTCTGACCAACAAGTGGAATTAAAAGTTTATCCATCTACAGGCATACAAACACTTCTCCCAAGTGTCATGGATAAAAGATAAAACGAAATATATCTATCTTTCACGAACTAAAAGCTCGACTATTTCTATAGAATACAATGAAACATGAGCTATCAAAACTCTCCGAATTCTCAGAACATAACGAGTTCTCTTCCTCTCAATTGTTACAATACAGTGATGAAGCCTTCTTAATATATTACTTGATTTGCATAATCAAGAAATATCCACATTAATGATAAAACCCGAAGTAGAATGTTCTTGCATCCAAAAATTCATGGAGCAACTTTTGAACTCAAAGTTATAGAGCTTGGCAGATCTTGGGTACACCAATAAAATATGCATCAACGGAATGAATATTCTTAAATTGATGTAATGTCACGTTCAGAAGAACCTAAAAGATATGAAAGGTTAAAATACATCAGAGTTCGTTTTATTCAATTCTACAATATTAACAAGACGTATATTCCTCAACAGATGGAAAAGAACATTCCAATAATAATCTGTAACTCATACAATACTCTAGATTGGGCATTGAGTGCAAAAAGAAAAGCGATAGATACAGATACTCATAATATGCTCTGAATTCTGAAAATCGTACTCTATAACAAATACATGTGACACGTGAAGCTCCACCAAGTAGAATACAACCACAGACGACAATTCAAAGAAAAATTAGGCAAAATTTTACGCAATGGAAGATTAAATAATTGAAACAAAAGATACCAAAATACGTGCACTTGTACACAAATATTCGCAAGGATCACCATGAAAAAGGATTCGCCCCTAGCAGGAATATTTCATTCTCAACATCTTTCACCCATTGGCAAACCCGATTGCATACCTTAATAGCAAGAGCCTGCAAACAAGAGTTGTCAACATTCATGATTTGATTAGAAAGTTATGTTTTGTCCAAGTCTGTTACATGCAATGGCGAAAGTAGATATTTGCAAAGATTCACACCTTGTCTGCAAGAGGATCAAAAGCAGCATACAGTTCAAAATCTTGTGTAACCCAGCAAAGTAACACTGGACATCAAAGGACTTGATATAAATATCACCAGCATGAAATAAAGTGGTCACACTGTACTGTCAAGACGTGATTATAGTTAAATAGAACATACAAAACCCCCCAAAGAAAAACATTACCAGGCGAAAATGGATAAATATGGAAGTTCCAGCTTAAATAGCATGAACTCGTATAGAAGCACATGGTGCTTGCTATGATCAATAACAAATCAACAAATATTTGGAGAGAATTTATAAGTGCATTAAATCTGGGAGAAATGTGCTCTGGTAATGCGCAAATTAAAAGTATGCATCAAAATGTAATCCGGTTTTTCAAGTTGTCCTTGTCCTTAGAATTTGAAAGCATCCAACATAGAGGAATAATTACCATAATTTTCATCCCTTCTAAACTGGGTTTTGTGAGGTCCTATTCCTTTATCATGCATGGAGGTATATAGTTTCTGGTAGGCCCTGTATAATCTGCAAAAACAAGAAGCCATTGTCTATAGTCCAGTACAACAATCGAGCCTCGGAAAATTCTTTACTGAAGAATAAATAGCATGATTTTGATCTACCAAATTTCTAGTTACCTCTTTTGCTGTCTCAAGCTGTTGATTGGATATGAAAATTCAGATGACACAAACTGGTCAAGATAGATACTTCTATACATGAAATGCCAGAGTCCCGCGGGCCCACCAATTCCAGCAAATCCATCTGCACCTCTTTTAGGGGAATCTATTGCTAGTCGAGGTTGACCGAGATGAGAAGAAATAGTTCCTGGTCGAGAGGTGGGACCCACAAGCAGATCCTCAATATGCATACCACCGTCTACCAAGGATCTTTGAACTTCGCTTAATACATTCGACTCCACAAGTACAGTTTCGATTCGAATTCTATAAGAAAAGTGTAACCGACTTGGATAAAAAGGCCAGATTATTCAAGAGCTATCATACAGCTCCACGTGCTAGGAAGATTTTATAGAAACAATAAAATTGAGGGGCGATTTGAAACAGAGCTGTATGGGTTTTTAATTTTTATGGTTATTAGTATTACAATTACCTGCTGTCTTTTAAATGATAGAAGGCATCCGAACTCGCGGTAAGTAAGACAAGGTATGTATCAATCTGCGATAAGATTCAGTAGTTCATCACTGTTTGAGAAATTGATACAAACAACATATAAGGTGAACCACATAACTAAGATCTAAAACTTCTTGCAAACCCACAATCTACAATATTGGTCCACTGGATGTGATATTGCCTTTTCAGACATGCAAGATTTTTTTTTTTTAAATATTTGCTCTCCAAATTTAAGATCGACTTACATCAAAATAGTGCACATAAGCATAAAGAAATGCCATCGGATTGTATCTTGGCAGGCAAATTGGCGAGAAGGATTCAGATGTCCTGCATGAAATTGAGAAATGACAATACTGTTTATTCGAAAATAGGAAGTACCATTACTTCATTAAAGTCGAAGGAAAAAAAAGCTTCTTCTTTATGCAATATTTAATTATTTCCTTAGCATAAAAAGGTCATGGATTCTATGAAGCACCAAAACTAAATAGCAACTAATACAATTTATTTATTCTCCTTTGGAGACTTGTATTATGCTCATATGGATGAGAAGAGGAGCACGTGACTGTTCTGCTGCAGAATCAAAGCACCAGTAACTAATACATATTTCGCTGCTTTTGTTTGTATTATGTCCAAAAGATGAGAAAGAAAGCAACATTAATGGACGATGGAAACAAATACTGAACAACCAGGCAAATTGCCACCAACAATATCGTGATCGATAGCATACAAAATGCAGGTGCGGATGACGATCAAGCTATGTAATGGAATGGATACATCAGATAAGCATATCAAAATCCTTCCTCCCACCCACCCCCTAAATTCCCAACAGTGTTTGTTGCCATAAAAGACAGCATATTTCCATGCACGCTCAACAAATGGTGTCATGACTATAGAAAAATAGATAAACTCATGCCTCTGAACCTAGCTCGTAGCAGAAGTTATGCGAAGTCTAAGTGAACTTACCTAAAAGACTCGGAAGACATAATAAAATTGGAGAGTAGCAGTATATCATCGGGATGCAGAGATGCTTTCTGGGCGCCGACAAGACTGATAACCTGCATTGCATTACAAATTCCGGCATTAATTATCCATCAGGAAATTATAATTATGGGGGAGGTAGCTGACATCCACCAACTTCAATTGCATTGACACTGCTGAATTGAACTCGCTTTTGACCTACTAACCATCAACATCTATATAATAAGATTATTTACTAAAAAAGAGATAGTATTGTCATAATTACTATAAATCAATAAAACAATAAACAATCAATTGATATTTCGTCTATTTTAACATATATATATATATATATATGTATTCATTCTTGGCAATTTTAATTTTAATTTAAATATATTTGACAATCAATATATATAAATTCATTTGTTGGAAATTGTATACTGAAAAAATATGTAAAGAAAAAGAAACAAGTGTATGTCATCAAGATGATAAACTAATTTATTGTATGTCAAACCACTATACCAATCATTTGGCTAGAAAATAAGTAAAAAAAATTATGCCATATATTTTAACAAAGTAAGAAAATTAATGAATTAACAAATAAATTATAAAACACTGTAGTTGGAACCCATCAAGTTTATAACTTCTTTTCTCTGCATTTCACAGGCTATACGCCAGTATAATAAAACAAAGAATACAGACATTTTGGACAGAGACCAGCAAGATGCTAAAATGACTTGTTATCTCACAATCACACACACCAAAAATAAAATGTTAAATAGTTCAAGAATTGGTCTCACCTGAAACACATGGAGCAATAAAGTTATATTCACATCATACAACACAGCAGATTACAGACAATGTGAAGTAACCATCTACCCAAAGTTTAAGTTTTCATGCACCATCCCCAGTTATTCCATTACAGAACTTTGCATGAAATAATTACCTTGTGTTTACACATTAAGAGGGAAAACAGGATTCCTGAACCAGCAACATCTTGCAAGATGGCACCTGCAGCTTGGCGTGTCGCATAAGCCATGGGAAGACATGAATAAGCGTGAAGATAAGTAGCAGGATTCCTACAATCAGAATATTATACATTCTAGGTTAATTATAAGTTAAATCCGGCTAATACAAATATTACGCTATTAGGAGTTAAATTACATACTGTAAGCATTTAAATATAATATTACATTTGAACTACCAGATCATCAGTAGCGTAGATGAGTTTCATTACATGTTGACTGGAGATAACTCCCTGTTTTCCTTAAAAAAATAAATTATTAAGTTCTGTTATATCGTTTAGATTAGTATATTCATCAATGTCTAAATCATATAAATAGATAAAACTAATTAAAACAACTCATTATTGCTTTCAGAACTCCATACGTCGAAGTCTCGAACATGCTTTCACTAGTGCCAACTTGCATCAAATAATTAGATTTTAAGTGGTCATACCAATTACATAATCATCAGTACTTATCATTGTCAATGTTTACGATAAGCAGCATTAAGCATTCTACTACATAAAGTGAACTTTAGGAAACAAGATAGAAGTTTATCTACTGATTTTATAGTTGATATATTTAGTCTTCAATTCTTCATACACAATTCATCATTTAAAAAACAAAATGCATGTGTTCCTTCAAACCACAGTCCTCAACACTAATCATAATTAATAATTAATTGCATAACCAAGTACATTAATTTATATACAGCTAACAAATCTTCCATTTTTTTAAGTTTTCCAGCAATCTAGTTATGACCACAAGCTTAACTAAATAATTATCTTATTTAATTTTGATACTATCCATAGAGATCAAGCATTATCAGTCAAACACCTTGGATTATGTGAAAATAATAGAGAAAATAGAAAACCATAAACAGATAAGACAGCTAAGACACCAGATTATTTTTTTTCCCCCAATAGTCATGAAGTATAAGAAATACCAACTGAATGAATGGATGAGAGAAGAGAAGACCACATCCGTTCCTCCAAGCAGAGACGTCATATCAAACTTGGGATTCCTCTCAAAGCATCGATTGACAGACTTTGTTAGGATAAGTATCATCTGAAGTGAGACCAGAAACCATATTATAGTGCAAAAGGGCAATAAAAACCATATTATAGTGCAAAAGGTGTCCTTAAAAGGCAATTGATTGACAAAAAAGGAAGGCAATGTACAAGATGCAGTTCTTAAAACACATAAATCCAATTTATTTAGCAAACAAAAACTGCCAATATTTATGGATTATAAGATACCTGACCATATAGGAGTTCCAGCTGTCCCCTTAATGATTCATAAGCCTCTTCTGTGCAACTTATGCAGACCAAGTAAATTGGTCCTTTAACAAGAAAAACTACCTGTAATTACAGATTTCACATCAATAAACGAAATTTTACGGTCATGTCTACACTGCATATCTATTTATCTATATCTATCCATACTACTATAACTTATAAAAGAAGGAATGATTTCGTAAAAAAATGCACGGACTAAAAAGTCCTTATATTTAATCTATTTTTAATGGTAAAATTGTATTAAAACTACTTAAAAAAATAATTTTAATTGCTTGAGATGAAAGGACTACTCTAATTATATAAAAGTGGGACTCATAATTATTAATTAAAAAGATCTGTCTCTATTGTATTTGAGATAATATAATGGTAAAAAGTATAATTACGTATAATAGAATATAAAAGCTATATATACTCCACAGAATTGGACTCCAATAAAATCAAATCCCATAAAGATTTAAGTTTTTTATAAGAGAATTGAACGAAATATATAAAAAATTTATATCTTGAGTATAAAAAAAAATTATAATTATATATATTACAAATACAATATAATATAATTAATTATGTCAAATACATTAGTAATTAAATAAACCAAGATTTAACCATGACTGCAATTTCAGAGAGATGTGAAAGCGAGTATTTCTTAATAATTATTTACCAATAGTAATATTTAGACGATCGACTGCAAAAGTAAAATAAAAAAGTATTTTAATGATATTTTGTCACTAAATAACAATAATAATAATAATAATAATAATAATAATAATAATACTCTTAGAAAGTATTTATAATTTTTTTTTTGTTTTGATTGATTTTTTTGTTAACCAGGGTTAATTTTAAAAAGGTAGGTTGGTTAGGTTTGAGCGAGATTTTGAGTTTGTATTAAAATAATTTAAAATAACTACAGTTGATTTGATTTGATTTGATGTAAAAGTAGAATAGAAAAATCATTATGCTTTCAAACTAATGATTATTTTAGAAATTGTGAATGAAAAGCTAACAAGACTCTTTTATTTAAAATATATAGCATGTGATCTAAGGGCATTTATGTTGACCGCAAAAAAAACATATTACCAACATAAAACTATGTGAATAAATATTAACAATTTGGTAGATCAATGATAGAAATGAGGTATAGTATTGCTTGTTTATGTTCGTTATTTGGTACTTTATGAAATAAAACATAATATATAGAACATTCATAGTATAAATAAAAATATCTTCTATGTTGTTGTAATCTTCTATGATTATTGTAATCTAATTATAATTTTGGATCTCAGTGAAAATCTTGTCATTTTATAATAATAAAAATAATAGTATAAAGGTGTCGCTCATTATATACACCTTAGTTTTTTATAGTTTGAGAACATCTTTATTTTTTATTAATTGCACACCAATTTTGCACCTTTAGAATAATGAATTGGTACATATATAAATATGTAAGTTAAATTCACTTGAAAATTGGTGTATTATGACAACGAAGTACTAACTAAATTTTATACTTCTTAATTGTTTACTATAATTGACAACGAAGCGCAACTTGAGTTACAAGACGCTTCACCTATGACCGATAGACCATTAGTTCGAGCCACCGAGGGGGGAAGTTGGAACACTATTGATCCTCCTTTTAGAAAAGAAAGTGGTTTACTATAATTCACTCTACAAGAATGTCATAAAAATTAAAAGAATAAAATTGTAATGTAAAATAATTATCATAAACTTCCAAAAAGTTTAAATAACAAATTGTAATGTAGTATACATAAATTTGACATAGCAACTTATAATTCTATACTATGGTGAATAAAAAACTTAACCTAAGGGTATATGTACAGCAGAGGCAGTTCATTCTCAACCAACTTATTTTCCTAATTAACGCAAGCTAACATAGAGCTAGAGCAGCACCCAAAAGAAGCATATGCGATATGCATCATTACTAAAAATAACAGGTGTCAATGAATCTTCGTAAAAGAAAAGTTCAGTGAAATAATGAACCTGGTGTTTACCAGCTCGCACCAATTTGACCCGATCACCCCTGCAAAAATTATCATTAAGCCTATAAAGGATATCAAATATGCGGCAGAAAGTCAATAAAATAAGGCACGACAACTATGGCTCTCATGAATAACACACCCATTTTCGACAAACGAAATGATGGCTTGCAAAGTTGCAGAGAACCCAGCTAGCTTGTGTTCATCCCCATATCTGCAATCCAATAGCAGAACCATGCAACAGAATATCATTCATGTATAGCTATATGAATAAAATAGAGCAGACACTAATATAATTATCTTTGAGCACATCTCATTTAGCACACAAACCTGGAATAGATAGGTTTCCCGGAGTTACTCAGAATAAAGAAGTGTTTCTTCCTTTTCCTCCAAGAAACTGAAGCATCATCCTGCAGCTCGCTCATTAATTAAACAGCATATAGGGGCAGGTAATACAGACCTGAGTCTATCCAATCCTATAGCAACTTAACGGGTTAAGAAAACTAATTACACCCTTACCAAACGAAGCATATATATCATTCCCAGCCACAATAAGAATACAAGCACTGACATGCACAGATGATTACGTTGGAACTAATCACTCCTAAACTAAAATACCCATCATTAAGAATGAGAGCAGTAAAATGGAAAGAACAATGTAGCCAGCTAACCTCATCAGGGTGACGTTTACCCGAAACCCACTGTGCATGGGATCCCAAATGTCCATTGTTTTGCACCTTTGGAATCTCATTACCACCTTCATCGTCCTCGTCATCATCATTTTTTTCATCATCGCCGCTGGTGCTGCCCATCTCGCCGGCATAGCCACTACTGCTCGGACTCAACGGCCGCTCAAGTTCCTCTGCCTCCAAAACATTCCTCCACACAGAAGAGGAAGAACCCTCGTCAATCCCTCCTGATCCTGAAGCCTCTGCGTTCCAATTACTTTCAATAAGCTTATCATCAGCTGCTCCTTCCGTTTTAATCTCTTCATTCAACGGTCCATGCCCCATCGTTGGCTCCCCCTGCGATTGCTCTTCTTCTTCCACAGCGTCCTCATCGTTCAGCGTCGCCGTCGGGGAACGAGAGGACATGGAGATTGAGGCCAATTGGCTCTCAATCGCGTCGAGTGACTGGTCAATGGAGTCCGGATTCGGGTTAGGGTCCGGGCTAGTATCGGAATTAGGGCTTCGATCATCCCCGTTGGCGGAGGAACTGGAGGATGACAAATTCGAATCAGAAGGCATGGACTATGAGAAGTAAAACTCGAATCTAGGTGAAATTCAGGGTTGTGGAGAAACCAGAGCTTAATCTTCTAAACAAAATCTACTTTTCTACTCGTCCCCACGAACACCATCGAAGCTGACGGGTGGGCATCACACCTACCGGTCCGGCCAGGGTGGCGGTCAAAGACAACGAACAAGACGACGTCGTTCGTTTGTCGAGTGGGTTGTGGGCTTATTAGTAATAGCGATTAGGCGATGCATGGTGGGATAACTGTAAAACAAATGGCCCCGTAAATACTATGGGCCTTCTGGAGTAGGCTGGCTGAGTAGCATTGAGGTCCATTTCGGACTGGGGTTGGAAGTTGGAACCTTTTGTTACGTATATCGAATGTGAAGTAAACACTGTTTTAAAACGCGCATAGCGTAATATATGGTGTTTTGATCTTTGCGTAAGTTATTTAAGTATAATAATTATTTTTATAGAAATATTATATGTATACTTGCATATAATAAAACTGGATTGCTGATTTTAAAAATTATCATAATATTTGAATGAACTCAAAATAGTATCTACGAATTATTTCTACAAATGTTTAATATAAATATCATAATATAAATATTTAAATAATAAAGCAAAAATACTAATAAGTAAAAACAAATAACGAAAATATAATATGATAAATCATAATTTAATTTTAAGCATATACAATGTAATTAATCTTTTTAATCTAATTATAATTTAATTCTAAACACTACTTTTTATTCATAAATTTAAATGTCGAATACCCAAAAATATAATGGTATAACAGACCTGGATCGATATATATAGCACTATTCAACTTAGGACTTTATATTTCAAATTTTTAATTTGAAATCATTATCAAAATGTTTAGTTTTTAGTTGTCATTTAAAAATATAACTCTAATCCCTAAAAATACAAGCTTTTTTTATATTTTATTGTTTAAATATCGTTGCAGAAATATAGCGTAAAATAGCGCAAAATAGCTTGAAATTGCGTAAAAATGGGTGCTATTTCAGCATTTAGCGTAAGATTTTCAGGAAAAACGCTAAATATATAAAGCTACGTCGCGTTTGATGGAAAAAAAAAAGTAATATAGCGAGCTATTTAAACAGTGAAAATAAATAAACAGAACATGTGTAAACCTGCGCTAAATGGCCGTCGGTCGACACGAATTTGGTGCTCAAGCCGAGCGAATTTTGTTATGTTATTGCATAATAATGAAACATGAAAAATGCAGAGTACTTAATACACCATTCAAACATTATTAATAATAATAATAATAAAAAAAAAAATTGCTCAAACTACTGAAGAAATGCCGTTCATCGTGTGCAATTCAGGTCTAGCCGCGTGGCGCATGGATTATCCGTCTTCTCTGTTGCCCTGTGGCTCTCCTCACGAGTGGCTCCGCAGTGTAGCAATTTGGAGAGCTCGCGGCATGGCGGGCTCCGCGGCGTGGCACCCTGCAATGGCCAACTCTCTGTTGACCTGTGGCGAGCCTCACGGTGTAGAGGTGATGATGCGCCGCGGCGCGGCAGGTCCCACAACGTGGCATGAGCTGTGATGGGCTACTGCATGGACCTGCTATTTGGTTTGTCACTCAGAGCTTCCTTCATACGAGCTCTACGGGTACGGTTGTAAGCATTCTTATGGGACCGTTCGAACAGACGACCACTCATGGTAGATTTTTCGGCCTCAGGGCCACTAATTAACGTCTGCCCGTTCCGCTAATAGGACCGTTCAAACAGACGACCACTCATGGTGGATTTTTCGGCCTCGGGGCCACCAATTAACGTCTGTCTAGCCTGCTAATGGGACCGTTCGAACAGACGACCACTCATGGTGGATTTTTTGGCCTCGGGGCCACCAATTAACGTCTTCCAAGCCCGCTAATGGGACCGTTAGAACATACGGCCACCCAGCCCGAAGGCCTTAATCATGATGGATGTTAGACTCCTGAACAGCTCGGACACTTCGACATGCCACTAGGGTCAAATAGAAAGGCACCAAACACCACAAGATAAAATAGTAATCGATCATTTACGTTAGTGTCACCGAATGCAAAATTACATCGAACGAGAAAATAATAAAAAATATCAAGCATATTTTTCGACCTCTATTTCCTGTTTGTACATGATGACCTGCGTTGCCGTTTACTCCCCGCTATCCACTCCCCACCGCAACTAAGCAGTGTATATAAATATCCAATCCACATGCCCATGATTTTTCCTCAGTAAGAATTAAAAAAATACCATTAGCCGTATTTTATCCCCATCATCCAATTTGCAATTCCAATAGCGATAATAACAAGAGATGAATAAATCAAAGAAATCAAATTAATCCACGTATTTTAGTACCACACCTCAATCTACAGACAATTCTCTTTACCATGATATGAAATCACATAAACACCCACTCAAAGGCAAAGTTTACCAAAATTTCATAAAACCATGAATTTAACAAACCATTACGACAAACTATACTTTGTAGATACAAACAACCATTAAACAAATGCACCAAACAAAAATTCAAATGAATTACTCCCAATATCAAGCTCCACACAAGAAACACAAGAGATCAAATACAGACATTACCATCTCCTTAATTTAAGACATGTTCGGGTTATGACATGCTTAAAAGTTATGAATAATCAATTCAAACAAAATTTCACATTTTCATATGAAATCCAAATGAGAGGTTCCGAATATATCAAAATATCAAATTATATAATTTTAATCATTCTCTTTGTGCCCACTGATGGAAAATGATTAAAACACCAAACATGCGATAAGCACAATCACAAAATATCCTCAATTTGAAACTATGACCTGCATTTATTCTCAAGCCAACTTGTTCAATAAGAGTATTGCAAAATATAGTTCGCCTCTCCAAGTGCAATGAATAACCCAAATACTTTCTCCACGAATAAACCAAATAATTCCACGAACAGATCAAATAATTCTCCACGAATAAATCAAATAATTTGCCAATCCTCACCAATTTAAAAATCCTCCGGTATCGAAATTTAAATTAGCCACATACCTTCGTCATGAGAATACTATCTCAAATTACCTCACTTTCCATTTCGTATTATTTCGGACTCGTCATGAGCTCACCATTTGCGTTGAATCATCCCGAAATAGTCTCGAACTCGAACCGGGGATGACGGACCAAGCTGGACCAGTTTGGACCGCTGCCGAACCTTTTGGACCGGTCTGGGCTACTTGGGCACTGTCTAGCGCGCGCTGGACCGCACTGGAATATGTTGGGCGCGGAATGAGGTACTCCTAGGCCATTGAGCCGTGCTTGTTGGGCCTAATTGCAAGGCTAGGGGATGGGGGCCGAGGGGTGGGCTCGCCTGGGCCGAACATAATGAAAAAAATGGGCTGAGGCTGGGTCATATGCGGGCTGGGCGCAGGCCACATGCGGGCTAGGCACGGACCAGATGTAGGCCCCACGGGATAGGTTATGCGAGGGTAGCGGGTCGCGCGGGTTGGTCGCGCCCTACGCACTGGAACAAATGAGTGTTTGGTTGTGAATGATGAAGTGGGCCGACTGCGCGCTGAGCCTTCCTCAAGCGCTGCGTACTGGACCGCACAACTTGGGCCATTCCTTCGTGCTGGACGCAGGCTGCAAGAAGGACACCTAGAGCTGGGCCTGCTCGCACGCTGGGCTGGTGATGGTCTGCTGGAACTAGTGCTCAGTGCACTGGACAAGCATGGCAGCTGTGGTTTCGCTGGAAAAAAAGTCGCCGGAGGAAAAGTCATCGTCTCCGACGAAATATACCAGTCGTGTGAGCGCCTCGGCGAGGAGACTTCAATGGTGTCCTCGGTTTGGAGTGGTTCTCCATAAATTACCAGAAAATTGGAGGAGAAGACCGGTGTTGACAAAAAATTTCTTAGATTTAAAAACTTTGACCGGAAAATCGGTAGCTTTCCCGGTGGAATTTTCCCTTGAGAATTTAAGGGTAGAACGAGCACGAGAAGAGCTTCGCGATGATGTAAAGATCTTTCTGATCGGGGGATTCTTCGCAGCCGGTGAAGGTCGATAGCTGGAGATTCGCCTCGACAAGAGGATTCCAGTGGTACCCTCAGATTATTCATAGCCCTCAAGGATCGTCAGGAAAATGCATTTGAATGTCGGAAGTTGACCAAAATTTCTTAGATTCGAAATGTTTGACTGCAAAATTGACGGTCACCTCGAGGAGATCTACCAGATGACGCAAATAATTTTCTAATCGGAGAACGTTTTTCAATAGCAGAGGTGGCGGCGGCTGGCAGTGGCGGCGGCTGGTGGAGGTGAAGGAGCTTGCTGGAAAATTTTTGAATTTTTTTGCTCGGAACTCCATTTTAGCTTTTCGAATGGTTTTCACAGACGGCGCCAATGTTGGTGAATGGACTTCACTCAGGCTCCTTCAACTCAGACGGCCTCCGTACCTGCAAGAACCAAACGCCGGGAGGGGTCCCAACGTCGGGCCTCCGATGCCTAAGTCAGCACCCGCTCCCAATAGAGAGTGTAAAATGAGAGTGTAGTAATGAATGTAGAGAGAATGAGATACCTTAACCCTCTTTTATAGGGGGAGTGTACCTTAGGGCCTAAGTTGGGCTTGACCAATACCATCATACCATGTGTCTTAGCTCATGTGTAGGCTTATTCTCCAATATATTCCTTTTACCCATTAAAACCGGTCTAGTATAATATCCTATATCAATTGCCATTAATGATTGACCACTATTTATTAAAGTTTGACTTGATCATGGTCATCGATGAGATTGATTCAATGATCCAAATTCATTCTTATTTCTTTCACTATCCCTTTTTCTCATATGATCCTAACAATATATATATAAGGAGGTTTTGGGAGTTTCGTTTAGTTGCTCCACCATGACTATTCGAAGTAGGCGTAGAGTTAATACATCAGATGATCGTGAGGTTTAGTTTTTTGTATCCCAACAAATCTAATCATCACCGAGAACAAATCACGAGCAGCTCTCGGCAGACCTGCGAAATCCCGGCGACAATCATACGAGCACGACCAGGGATTCCTGGAGAGACCTGCACGACGATCGATGCCCAACAAGCTTTGTTCGTATACCCGTGCAAATGACGTACAGACTGGCAAGATCCTCTACAGACCAGCATAGACCTGCGAGGTTCTCAGCAGCGTACAACGTGCAACGACCGCACGCCAGCGCTCAACGCGCATCGCTTTCTCCCAGCGCCCGACGCCCGACAATTATTTTTTGTGCATCTCACGTGACACTGACACATGTGACGCATCCACACCCGGACCTAAAGTG